GGACCTATTTGTTGGCCTGACCCTACCTGTAGGGAAGTCTGCTGCCTCCCTGGGGCCAGGGTCAGGGACATTGCCAGAAAGCTTCCCAACCTGATTCGCCCCTCTGATTATTATCCTCTTTTAAAAGTCCAGGCTGGCAGTGATGACATTGAAGAGAGAAACCTGAAGACCATCAAACGGGACTTTAGGGGACTGGGACGGTTAGTGGATGGAGTGGGAGTACAGGTGGTGTTTTTGTCCATCCCTACGGTGGCAGGGAGGGGTACAGAGAGGACATGGAAAGCCCACCTGATAAACACGTGGCTCAGAGGCTGGTGCCAACACAGGAAGTTTGTTTTTTTTTGACCATGGGGCACTTTATTCAGCACCCGGCCTAGTGGCCGCAGATGGGTCCCTATCTCTAAGGGGAAAACGGATCCTGGGCCAGGAGCTGCCGGGGCTCATTGAGAGGGCTTTAAACTAGGTAAGAAGGGGGACAGGGCTGAAACAAGGCTTGTTAGAGCTGTGCCAGGGGGAACAATGGCAAGGCTGGGAGAGAAGGCAATGGCCCAAATGAAGTGCATCTACACTAATGCATGCAGCATGGGTAACAAACAGGAGGAGCTGGAAGCCATCGTGTGGCAGGTAGGCTACGACTTGGTTGCCATCACGGAAACATGGTGGGACCACTCCCATGACTGGAGTGCTGCAATGTCTGGCTATAGGCTCTTCAGAAGGGACAGGCAGCATGGGAGGGGTGGTGGTGTGGCTCTCTATATCAGAGAGAGTTTGGATGTCGCAGAACTTGAGTCTGGGAATGATAAGGTTGAGTCCCTATGGGTTAGGATCAGTGGGAAGGCCAACAAGGCAAGCATCCTGGTGAGGGTCTGTTACAGACCGCCGAACCAGCATGAGGAGACTGATGAGTTCTACAGGCAGCTGACAAAAGTTGAGAAATTGTCAGCGCTTGTTCTTGTGGGGGACTTCAACTTCCCAGATATACCCTGGAAGCACAACACAGCCCAGAGAAAGCAGTCTAGGAGGTTTCTGGAGAGCGTGGAAGATAGCTTCCTGACACAGCTGGTTAGTGAGCCTACCAGGGGAGGTGCCCCACTAGACCTTCTCTTCACAAACAGAGAAGGACTGGTGGGAGATGTGGTGGTTGGCAACTGTCTTGGGCAGTGACCATGAAATGGTAGAGTTCTCCATTCTCGGAGAAGCCAGAAAGGGGACCGGTAAAACCACTGTATTGGACTTCCGGAGGGCCGACTTTGAACTGTTCAGGACGCTGGTTGGTAGAGTCCCTTGGGAGGCAGTTCTGAAGGGCAGAGGAGCCCCGGAAGGCTGGGTGCTCTTCAAGAAGGAAATCTTCTCGATCGTGGTACTGGAGCCGGTCCTCTTTAATATCTTTCTCGATGATCTGGATGAGGGGATTGAGTGCACCCTCAGGAAGTTCGCAGGTGACACCAAGTTAGGTGTGTGTGTCGATCTGCTCGAGGGTAGGAAGGCTCTGCAGGAGGATCTGGATAGGCTGCACCGATGGGCTGAGGCCAACTGCATGAAGTTCAACAAGGCCAAGTGCCAGGTCCTGCACCTGGGGCGCAATAACCCCAAGCAGAGCTACAGGCTGGGAGATGAGTGGTTGGAGAGCTGCCTGGCAGAGAAGGACCTAGGAGTATTGGTGGATAGTCGGCTGAATATGAGCCAGAAGTGTGCTAAGGTGGCCAAGAAGGCCAACAGCATCCTGGCTTGTATAAGAAGCAGTGTGACCAGCAGGTCTAGGGAAGTGATTGTCCCCCTGTACTTGGCTCTGGTGAGGCCGCACCTCGAGTACTGTGTTCAGTTTTGGGCCCCTCGCTACAAGAAGGACATCGAGGTGCTCGAGCAAGTCCAGAGAAAGGCGACCAAGCTGGTGAGGGGCCTGGAGAACAAGTCCTACGAGGAGCGGCTGAAGGAGCTGGGCTTGTTCAGCGTGGAGAAAAGGAGGCTCAGGGGCGACCTTATCGCTCTCTACAGATATCTTAAAGGAGGCTGTAGCGAGGTGGGGGTTGGTCTATTCTCCCATGTGCCTGGTGAGAGGACGAGGGGGAATTGCCTAAAGTTGCACCAGGGGTGTTTTAGGTTGGATATTAGGAAAAACTTCTTTACTGAGAGGGTTGTGAGCCATTGGAATGGGCTGCCCAGGGAAGTGGTGGGGTCACCATCCCTGGCGGTCTTTAAAAGACGTTTAGATGTTGAACTTAGTGATCTGGTTTAGTGGAGGACTTGTTAGGTCAGAGGTTGGACTCGATGATCTTGAGGTCTCTTCCAACCTAGACAATTCTGTGATTCTGTGATATTAACACTTTTCACTGGACTGTAAGTGTTCCAGGGAGGTAGCATAAGGCGAAAAAGAGTAAGTCATGCAGGCTAACTAGGCTAAGTCTGGCTGTGCTTTGTTACAGCAAGACCATCCCAAAGCCCATTGATGGTGCATACACTGCCAGTCAATGGTTTCAACTGGAAATCAGAAGCACCCACTTGCAGCTGGGGCTGAAATTTGAGTACAGAGTCTCCTCCCCTCTCTGTAATCCAGAGCCAGGCTATCAGCTGATCAGCAGCGCTGTCAGAAGCTCAGCAGCCTTGGGAGCCTGTCTCAAGAGGAGGGAAACATCTCCAAGCCATTCTTGCTCTCGTTTGCATCCGTAGGAAGGAAGTAGGCTTGGAAACTGGCTGAGCAGCTCTGTGAAGAACTTTTTTTTCCTCCCCAGCTCGTGGGATGAATTCCCTTTATCATTTAACGCCGTTAATAAGTTGTAACAAAACTCTCCCCACCACATTTTCCCAAGAGACAATAGATAATGTGGGGGGCTGCATTAGGGGACACCCAAGCCCATATACAATGGTTCAGGAATGTGGAAAGAGATGGGGTTTGTTTTAAACTGGGTTTAACCTGAACTTTATTATCCAAAGCAAATATATTTTTCTGTAATGAGGTCTCTAAAGAGATGCAATGACAATCCCTCATGGTGTAGGGCTGAAGGGTATACATACTCAAACACCCAAGAATGCCTCTGAACTACCTCAGTGAATAAATGGTGTAACACTGTGGATCACATGAACTCTTATAGGTACCTAAGATTCTGGTGGTTTACACAGATCTCCTGAGCTGGCCTACCACCTTTGCCAGTAAAAACATAAGATGTGTGCTTCCCCTATCTTCATATCCTGTTATCACATATTTAAGATCACATTGTCTTATTACAACTCTGCACCCATATATAAGCAAATATAGTATTTTCAGCACAGAAATATAATGAGGACTTTTTGGAAGAATGTATGTAGTAATTAAGTCATTACTCTGAATAACCCGAAGGGCAAGAATTCATTTATGCACAGCAATCCAGGAATATGTTTAAATAGGTTAGAGGTCATGTGTTTTTGAAAAGGACAACACACAGGCAACAGAAAGTATGCTGATAGTGCAGTTTGTATACAGAAGTACTCGTTTTCTACCCAACTTCCTTTAACCTTACTTGGGATTTTAGGAGTCAACTTGCAGAAAGAGAAATAAAAATAAAAAAAAAAGGGTTAACTTTAATTTTAAACAATTTTATACATTTAGGCATATTAATTTTATATATTTAGGCATCCAGACTAAATCAATAGATATAGATTAATTCGTAACAGAGAGAAGCATCTCAACAAAACAAATCAAAACAAACTTCAGCACCTCAGCCAATGTATGTCACACCTTTACTGGAATGAAACAAAATACCTTCCAGAGGTTCCCTTTCTCTTCATACTTTAGATAAACATGATATGACAAGAAAATTCAGACCCTTGATAAGATGATTTTATTATGAATGCTGACTTTTTCTTTAATAACGATCTCGCCTTCCAAAATTCTAAAGTGGTAGCTTCATCTTGTTAATTGAAAATGCCGTGTTCCAACATAAAATAAAAAATATGGATCTGCGTACCAGTTTCTTCTTCTCAAGTACATTTCCTCTTTTTATGTTTTTAATACCCTAGAGATATTTTTAGAAGCTAAAATAAGTGATTAAAGACACTTCTGTTGTGTCAGTTTTATACTTTTAAGATGTCTAGGCTTTCTTATTTGAGGTTTCTACTTGTTTAAATCTAACTAGCTGAAATGGAAGCCACCCACACAATTTTTCTATGAAAATGAGATATTTGCAACATAATACTTGTACTGTAGTTCCATTCCTCCATCATATATACTACATTTAGTTTCAGTGGTCTGAACAAGCAAAGGCATGCACATAATTAATTCCATGAGGGACAGCTTATTCATACACTCGCACACACAACTCTTGCTCTTTGTATATCAGTTGCACATAATTTACAATGGCTATTTCTGCTAACTTGAGTACTCTGTAAATTAAATTCTAAATAAAGCTCCAAGTTTTCAGACTTATTTTTCTTGTAGCACCATCAAACATTTTCTATTGTCCTACATGCACATTAGTGCACGCACACACCCTGGAAAGGGCTTTTTCTATTCTTCAGCTTGTGCTATGTAGTAAAATGGTTTTAAAAATAAAATGGCAACAGTTGCTTGCACATGTGGATGTCATAAACATTTTGTGTTACGTTACAATCCAGCTCAATCAAATGCATTTTAGCAGCAGCGGGCATGGGAGTGGATATGGAATGCATTTTCTTAGACACGAAGGTGATTTGTAAGTTGCAAACGGGTAACACATACGGTGCGTATTAGTTGTAAGCTCACAAATGTTCTCCTGGTGACATGCATATATGTATGTAGGGTCTGCATTTAAAGCAAATAGGAAGGTAGTTAGGAAAAGAGCCCATTTTTTCCCGGGATTATAACAGAATAGTGCCCAGGAAATCTCCTGGAGGAGATCTCACAGAGGCAGAGCAGCACTCTCCCTGAGCCTTTGCGGCCCCGAGGCCTCCCGCAGGGCCCCCAACCTCACAGCCCCACAGCCGCCCCCTCCCCGCGGCTGCCCGGCCCTGCCGCGCCCCGGTCGCCTAGGAGCGAGCGCAGCTCTAAAATGGCGGCGGCCGGCGGCGGGCAGGTGAGCCCCTTCCCGCCTCTCGGCGGGGCCGCCTGACGGGGAGCTCGGGGCGCGGAGGAGGTGGGGAAGTGGCAAGTGCCGGGCCCGGAGGAATGGCAGGCGCAGGGCGCTTCCCTTTCTTCCCGTGCACAGGGGTTGAAAGCCTCCTCTGGGGTTTCTGGTCCGAAGTGGGTGCGTGGTTCCTGGCTGCGTGCCTGGCAGCTGGCCCCTGCTGCAAATCTCCAAGGACGGGCGTTTCTTTGGGGGGATGTGGTACAGCTGCTGTGCTCCCAGCAGCTTTTCTTTTTCTGTCTGCGGATGTTGTGGGCCATTTGGACAGCATTTTCTCCTACCTGACAGCTGGGAGCTGTATCGAGTTCCTGGAGAAGTGGCAACTATGTCCAGCCACCAGCTGTGCTGAGTAAGAGGCTGGTGCACCCTAGGGGTCCCACTAGCTCTGTGCTTGCCCCACTGGGAAAGCACCACAGCTTCAGCCCATTTGCAAGTGTATCCAAAGTTACCTTATGTCAACCCAATGACCCCAGAGCATGCTCCAAAACTAATTGGGCGCCTAATACAGGCTGCTGTAACCATACCCATCAGTACTTCCAAGTTTGCAAAGTCCAATTTGCAATTTCATGTTAGAGGCAAGAGTGATATTAAAGGACATTGGGCATTTACTAAAGCCATTAAATGTTTTACTGGTATGTTGCTTTTTATCAGCTGCTAGAATTTGAGATCCATAATACTCATGCTACTAGGATTGCTTTTACAAATTATGGCACATAAGCTCTATATTCTGAAAATGATATTTGTGCCTACATTTTTCAAAATTAAATAGACATGTAGAGTTTTCTGGATGTGTAGAATCATAGAATAGCTCGGGTTGGAAGGGACCTTAAGGATCAGCCAGTTCCAACCCCCCAGATAATTTTAAAAAGTCATGTGTGTAAAATAAATTTGCATATTCATTGCAAGGTAAGCTGTTCTCATGTTGAACACCTGTACTGTTTTGGCTGACATGAGTTGAGAAGCCCGTTCTCTAGCCGACCTCTGTTTTCATATATCTATGAGCTGTGGGTCTCTATAGAAAACTGGAGTAACATAACTGTTGATGTATTTTTTATCAATTAAAAATAGAAACTGCCAATTTGATACCTCTTTATCCGCCTTAGACTATGCTGTAGTTTGCGAGGTGCTGTGATTCATACATTAATTTTGGCATGTGTATTAATTTAGACACTGAATATATATATGTTATAATGTAATTAATTATGCAGTATCTTTTGCTGACAAATGTACTGTGTACTGTCAGGCAGTAGAAAAACAGCTGAAGATCTGTGGCTTTAAGCGGAATATCGATGTCTTAGTATTGTATCTGGCTGGACAGTAAGTAAAATGTTTCTTCAGCTTTTACTAAAAATGGAGCACGTGGTAAATGGTAACCTTTCATAGATCTTTCCATCTCTGAACATCATTTATATGTGAATTCTCAGTAAATCATATTTATACCTAGTCCATACATGTTGTGCAAGAAGAAATGGTATAGATATATATGTATGTAGATAACAGAACTGCATTCCCAATGAAGTAGTTAAATGCCTCAGCCCTAGACACACAGTCCTCTAGCAACCCAGCATTGCTTGAGGGTCGGTAAGTTCATAGAGTTTTGCGTGAACTTCTACCAAGGGAACAGAGACGTGAAGCTTAATGGGCTGATCTCTACCTGTTCTAACTAGCTTGTAAAGCTGGGTGAAAGACTGTCAAGAAAGCAAACGCAAAAACACAGGACCTGCCCGGTCTGAGAACTGCCAAATTTCTGACCTCCCTGAAGAAATCTGTTGTTGCAATAGCAAAACTCATTGGTAGCACCTTTGAAATTACCTGCATCACTACCATTAAGAATTGAAAGGAGGGCAGGGCAACATGAAGTGAGCACGAGAACACTTGTTTGGAGCTGACAGCACTGATCAGAGAAGTGATCTCCTCAGTGAACTTTATGAAGCAGCTTAAGAGATAGGGCAGGTGAGGAGAATAAACCATGCAAAGTGAAGGAAGGTAAAGCTTTCACGAACCTGTGGGTGATCTAGGTTGATAGAGTGATATGCTGTAGGATGAACATGCTGAGAGGCTACTGTAGAGAGATGGATACATGACAGGACATACTTCAAAGTTTTTGAAAAGCATACTTTGAATTTCTGGCCAGGGCACAATTCCAACTGTTGCATACCTGTCTGCAGCCTCACAACTGTGTCTAGTGTTTGTATTGTTGATATATGTAAAGAACTAATGTAGTTGAATAATTCAGGGACAAGGTTTTAAAAGTCTCCAGGTTTTATGAATAAAAAAAAAAGCGTTACAGGATTTCAGTGATTTAAGTGGAAATTAAGTGCCCTTGAAAGTCTCCATGTGTCCACTGGTATGTCTGAATTCCTTAGCACATCTCTCGATTTACACCATGAAAGAATTTGATGCTCCGTGAAAAGAAAATATGAAGCTTATAGTTACTGTTAAAGTATTATAATCTTTATTAACTTTATTATAGAAAGAAGAAAACACAGAAAATCCAAGTAAGGAAGAAATTTAAATAGAAATGTACAAGATGCATCCATATATTTTTTAAACAATATGATAAAATTAATCTAATGCATATGTGTAAAATATTAAGACTATATATATACAATCTTAAGAAGCACATTTTCTGATGTTAAATAATTAAATATATGCCCTCATTGGCTTTGAAATACTTTTTTTGTGTGTGGAATAAAAAAATGAATAAAAAGAAATTACCAGATGGCAGATACAGAAGTGATCTGTCTTTAAACCATCATCTTTCTCAAAATGGTTTAATGGGAAGACAGATCACTTCTGTAGCTGGCTTCTTTGATGACTGGAGAGAACCTATTTCCTTTTATTCTATACCAATTTATATAAACCTTGAATCTCAGCCAATCTCAGTATCAGATCATGCCTCCTTAACTGTTGATTTGACATATATTTCTGTTGGCTAAAGTACGAAGAAAATTAAAAAATAATAATGAAAGTCAATCAAACTAGAGGGAACAAAATTGTGTTTTTAAACCACTGCTGTTAAAGGGACATGAAAAAATTTACTTTTCAACACTGAAAGCTGTCATCCTAAGAAAACTGATTAACTTAGCAGTAGGTAGGAGTAGAGGGCTGGAGGCCAGAAAGTATCAGTTTGTAAGAGACATACAAAGTCTGGAAGGCATACGGAAAGGGACAGGCTCCTTTAGAGGAATTAAACTCTACCTGGGGCAAATTAAATGCCTTAATACCAGGGGAAAAAAAAAGAAAAAAAACACACACACATACACACACACACAAAAAAAAAAAAAAAAAAAAACACAGATCAAGGCTTGGATATAGTAGAGATGAGGCTGTTAAAAGAGAGGAGTAAAGCCAATTAAAATGTAAATCTGTAAACTAAGTGTAGAAATGCAATGACAAAGAATATGAGGAGATTTGGGCTTTGCTATCTGAAAAGTAGTTCAGGGGTGTACAGGTAAAGCTATACAGAAAAAATATAAAATAGTTCTGTAAGAGCTCTGGATGTCCCGTCAGCATTCAAGTGATTATCTTTAGTACTTACAGTAATGTACTTGCTTGTGACAATAAAATAAACACATAAATATGCGATCAGCATGGAATAATCTGATTGTCAGAAATACAGGAGAATAAAATTACAGCAGATGGACTGTGTGGGGTTTGCTCTTGACTTTTTTTCAAAAACAAGATCAGAAAAAGTGTCCACTCCTCCTTTGTATGTGGTGGGTTTGTTGGAAAAAAAAAAAAAACAACACATGGGAAAAGAGACTAGGTTTCATAGCTGGAACACAAGCAGATTGAGTTAGGCTGCTAATGTGAGGTTAATTCTTTCCAATGCTATTAAGTCTTTCAGAAACACCCTGGTGCTGCAAGATATTCAAATCAACACAAAGTTTTATTATGTCAATTAAAATTGTAAACATCATCTATAATTATTTGACAGGAAATCAATAATATTTATTTAAAACAACAAAACCCAGCAACAATTAGTGAAATTACTCAGCAGCTCACCCGTATTCTCTGGTTAGTAGGTAATTTATTACTTATAGTACACTAGCAAGCTCAGCTTCAACGTGCTACATACAATTAACCAAAACCCCCTACAAGCAGAGACTACCAGCTTCAGTGAACATGCAGTTTCATGTAAAACAAGACTGCTAATGAGTATGAGGAAATACGAAAGTTTATACAGCAGAGTAAAGGGGTGAAAAAAAGATAAAAGATTTCACAGTGTGCATTAATACAAAAAATAAGAAATGTACAGTGATGTGCTAAGTGTCTTTCTTTCATCTCTGGCACTGTGGTTGGAGAATCTGTGTTGTACCTAAGACAGCTCTCTTTTTACATTTGTTGCCCTCTAGGATGCAAAAATCCTCCTCCTGTGTTCTGAAGAGAATTTTAACAAGCTGCAAAGTAGATGAGACTCATACTCCCTGGAAAATAAATGCTGTTATGGAAAAATAATTTGTAACTGAGTTCATTCCAATTTCTTTACCACCTGCTGCTTTGTTATGCTTTCAGGTGTTTATAATGCATACATTGTTTCTCACTTTTACTCTGTGTGTCTTTCCCTGCTATAATTTCTACAGAATTGTTGCTTTTTAGTGTTTGCATATTATTTATAAAAAAAATATATTTTTTTTTAAGTCAGTAAGCACAATGAATATTAAGAATTTTGTTACTTTATTTTCTTCCACCAGAGGACTAAGAAGTATTCCAAGTCTATCACGCTTTCATAGGTTGAGGTACTTGTGGATTAACAACAATAAGGTAATAAAGCATACCTTTAAAAAGCAGAACAATGCATTAACATTCCCTGTTTATTTCATCACAGTTTTCCTAACATAAAATATGATTTTAGTATCTAGCAAATTTAACTGATTTATATAAGACAGTTTTGAAGAAACCATTGTTTTACATTAGAGTATAAGCTGATTTTTTTTTTTACATATCTCATTTATAAATCCCATGAATTCAAGGAGCTGAGTTTTTGTGCTAATGTATTAGCAATAAAAAGACAGATTAGGTACACTTAGAACTATGCTATTGGAAAAGTTGCTTGATACCATACTGATACCTGAGGCCTAGGAGAGCATTTTCCAGTGTAGCTCATAGCAAGTGTTCTCTGCCCACCACAGTGGGCAGCTTTTGGAACAGAATCACAGAATCACAGAATTTCTAGGTTGGAAGAGACCTCAAGATCATCGAGTCCAACCTCTAACCTAACACTAACAGTCCCCGCTAAACCGTATCCCTAACTTTAAGGTATTCTTAAAGAAACTTAGGGTTTTTCTAGTTCTTCAGGAAAGGAGTGGACTGCAGGAAATGCATAGGTCCTTCATTGTGCCCTTCCAGACATGCCTGGCTTGTTTCCTTGCAGGCTGGCAGCTGAGGTGAGACTCCTTTCTGCTGTCACGCACATGAGTGACATAAAACCCTTTCAAATTTGCTCCCACCTGCACACAACAAGTAGCACTGCCATGCTAAGATGGATGCAATGTCTTCTGTCATTATGCAGGCTGTAATGTCATCTAAACGTGTTTGAATTAAGAGACTTTGCTGGGCAAGTGACTAGAGTTTGACAATGAGCCACCGTAAATTCTGTTATATGGTCCTAAGACAGTTATTCAGACTATGAGCCATACTTTCTCCATCTGTGCAAATCCAGATCATAGCAATTATAAGTACGAGTTCTAAGACAATGCTCTGTAAAAATCTCCAGACACTACATTTTTCAGCCAAGTCTAGAATTATCTCATTTAGAAATCTCCAAATACATATCCAACCTTCCCCATTAGCCACTGGTAATTAAAAAAAAAAAAAAAAAAAAGGCTGGAGCCTGCTTTTAAATTTATTATTTTACAGTAGTTTACATGATTTTTACAAAGGGTGCAAGTTCTTAAAGCACCGTAAGTGCTTGCTCAGGTAAATAAGTAGCAATGTGAGCAGCAGGAAAAAAAAAAAAAAAAAAAAAAAAAACAGCATTCCATGTAATTTAGGAGTGTATGTATATCTGCTGCCCCAGGCTAACATCAATTATATAGCATGTTATGTAGACTTCGTTGAAAGACCTGTGGTTATCCAACTGTTTTCAAAAAAAGCAAAAATATGGATATGTGAAAAGGTTGAACTAAACCCACAGGTATAAGGCTTTCCCTTTTACTTCTAAAGGGCACTAAAGAATAAGGAGAAATGGCCTGATGACTAAGCAGAGATGAACTGGTTGATCAGTAAAAGATAAATAAATCTGATTTTTGCATAGGTCTTACTCTCCTACTTATGCTGTAACAAAAATCATTCATTCAATGTTCTGCATAACTTGTGGAAAAAAAAATATTTTCTGTATAAACTGTGGAGAAGCCACGAAATGGCTGTTCTGAGAAGACTTCAGCTAATAGGGGAAACACATTTTTCTGAACTTCAAAGAGCTAAACACTTTAAATTTCCTTTAAGAACACATTACAACAATTTTATCACAAAAAGTAAACTTAAGATGATCTTAAAACAAACTTGTCAAAGGTAGAGAAGTGCCGCTATATACAATAGGTATGTGTATCATAGTATCATAGAATCATAGAATATCCCGAGTTGGAAGGGACCCTTAAGGATCATCAAATCCAACTCCTGGCACTGCACAGGTCTACCCAAAAGTTTAGACCATGTGACTAAGTGCACAGTCCAAACGCTTCTTAAATTCATACAGGCTTGGTGCAGTGACGACATCCCTGGGGAGCCTGTTCCAGTGTGCAACCACCCTCTCGGTGAAGAACCTCTTCCTGATGTCCAGCCTAAACTTTCCCTGTCTCAGCTTAACACTGTTTCCGTGGGTCCTATTACTGGTGTTTACAGAGAATAGGTCACCTGCCTCTTCACTGGCCCTTGTGAGGAAGTTGTAGACTGTGATGAGGTCTCCCTTCAGTAGTGTAGGCCCTACACTACACATGGTACAATAATCATTGTGAAGAATGATTTTAGTTTAAGAATGCTGTTACAATGGTGAGCTTGCTACCCAATTGTATATACTTTACCTTGCACTCAAGTCAAGACTGATCACTAAAAACTTCTTAGAGTATGCCAGTTTTCAGATAGGCTGCGTTTATACTTCTCCAAAGTTAAATTCAGAATGACATATAGAAGTTTTCCTAACTCTAATTTCAGATCCAAGATTTAACTTTCTTGAAGAAAAACTACTGCTTGACTGAACTATATCTCAATGACAATGAGATCACAGATATATCAGGTACAAATCTTCCCTTTTCAGATTATTGGACAGAAACCTATACCTTCGGTTCCATGTATTGGCATTCAAATTTTTAACAGTGGACTACAGCTAGTAACTTAATGGTTGAAAGCTCCCATGTATGAGTAAATGTTAATTATTTTCTTCCAATGTACTTGAGTGGCTGTAACTAATAGCCAATATCAAGTTTATGTTGGTCTATGGGAATGAAATATCATTCACTTTAATGTCAGGCAATTGTAAAATATTTTTGATCTAGCATGACCATATTTTATATTCAAGATGGATATGCAAAGTTCTTTTTACATCTAGTGATTTGTAGTCCTCTTGCTGACCAGGCACTGCATAAGCTGATAAAACCTTCTGGGAGCCATTTATGTTTACGTGATGAAAAACTGATTGCAGTGCTAACGGACTTAGCATGAAAATAAAAGAACAATAAATTAATGAGATGTCCCACTTCTAATGCAGGTTAAGGTTCTGCAGTTTCTTTATGATGCAGTTATACTTACAATCAGAAGTATTTTGCAAAGTTACTGCAAAACCATTTTATTCTAAAATTCAAACTTTATCCTATCCATCTATTTAATTTTTGCTTGCTTGTATAGATTAAAGTATCTATTTCAGACCAGTGAATTTCTAAATGAAAAGCCCAAAACCTAAATAATAAACCTGTGTATTTTAGATGTTCTAAATGCTAATATTTTACTCTTCTCAGTCCCTATAAACTGTTCAGATAATAAATGATGTTGTTTAGTTCTTGTGAGATTTTGTGAAAAATGAATGTTTGAAAGAAACATTGAATGAAAGACATGAGAGACATTACAGTAGATACCAACATATGTGCTATCAGAAGGGCAGGTGTCATCAGCAGAAAAATGTAGATGAGAAAAAATTATGTAGAAATTGGAAAATGAGATGTCTAAACCTGATGTGGTGTGATGATGTGAATATATAGTCTATATAGTATATATATATACTATAGTATATAGTATATATAGCAACAACAGTTATTTGGAATAACTTTTAAAATACATTTATAATAACTTGAACTATTTTCTACAGCATATGCAATGCATTGCTTGTAAGGCAAATGTAATATTAGCTAAGGATAAAAGGAAGCAAAGAGGAATTAATCAAAGATCACTGGGACATCGGAGGAAGGAAGGGATACAGGAAGGGAGGAAGAAGGCAGTTGATGTTGATTTGTTGAGGCAAGAGTGATGGAGACAAATGGAAAGAACTGGAGCAAAAAAAAAACAGCAGTGAGGCATATGTTTAATGATGTGACTAGAAAGACAGAAGAGATATTGAAATCTCTGATAGTGTTTGGTTTTTTTTCCCCTCTTTTTTTTTTTTCTATTCTCATGCAAGGTGTTATAAATATGCAGACCTAGGTGGACAACTAGAATGTCAAATATAGTGTGCAACATAAAATAATTATTTAATAAATACAATGAAATATGTTGAAAATATTTATTTTTCATTTCATTTCATTTCAGGTGCTCTGAAACACTTGTGTGCACTACAGATTCTGTTGCTTCATAACAACCAGTTAAAACAACTTGGCAAAACAGTGAAGGAATTAAAAGGAATAATAAGCCTGCAGACCCTAAGTAATAACTTATTTCTATCTTGCAGAACACAAGTAGTAGTTTTTTAGTGTATCTTCCCATGATGTTTCTTGTCCATTTCTGCATCATTTGCCAATAGCTTTTGAAGCTAATTATCAATTTCAACCAAATGTGACCGAAGAAAGAGATCTGTAAAGCATGACAATTCCACAGAGAGTACTGCTACTACAGAAAAAACTGCTCAGTGAGTTCAAAAGTTAACTGCTTTTGGCTGTTGGCTAGCCAGTCTCTGGGATGAGTAGTGTGGAGGCAGTCAAAGCAGTTTGTAAGGGAACATGGGAGTACACTGCTCACGGAGGTGAAGGGAGACGAGAAACTGATGTTATTGCTGTTGAGAGTGTGAGGAAGGTTATAGAACCCAAATTCCTGTCTTGTTAATTACATTGCTTGGATAACTTATATTCTACAATTTTTTGGTAGAATCTATGGATTTCCAGAGTCTAAGATATTAGTCTTTAGATATTAAGTATAATAGTATCTGTGGTATAATTTTTGGTGTACTGATTGGAAATAAAAGTCGCATAGGATCTGAAATTTGAAATTAAATGATACAAGACAGTGCTGTCACTACTGAGTTACACTGTAAGGAGTAGCCTTCAGGGAAGTAGGATTATATGTTATTAACCTGTTGAAAATGTGAATGTAAACAGGTTTTTTTTTTCATGGTTCCTAAATGAATGTTGTCTTTGGACATGCCAAACTCTCAGTACTTTGAGAAAACAGGAAATTAGTTTCATGTCTTATCACAGTTAATGGAGGCGAGCGTCATCAAACCATACCTCTTTATGCATTCAAAAATTGAATTTTTGACTGCAGGAAAGGAAAAATGGCTTGAAAATTATACTTTTAATTGAACTTGATGTTGGTCTAAAATTCACAAACAAATCAAGTGTTTAGGAAGACAGCATGCCAGCAAAATCATTATTTTTTTTGTTATGGGCAAAACTGAAAAATAGTCCATGTAAGAATGCAGTTGTTTGAAGTGATTAGGCAAAGTCTGGACAGACATCCTATGTATGAATGGTGCTGTCAGTTGAATTTAATGTTATAGCTCTGCCAATTAATATGTTGCTTCATAAAACACAGCGAGTTTGTGTGCTTTTTGCAGTTGTCTATGGGAAATAAAGAGAAATAGTTAAAGTACTGCTGAGTTATTATGAGTGGCAGTCACAAAGACACCATGAAAACTGGATGGATATTGAACTGGTCACTGCTATGGAAAAGCAATTATTTAAAAGTACTATCAAACAGAATACATAGAGTAAGCCAGTCTGCCCTGATTAAAATGTTATTCAGTTCAAAGATATGAGAGTAAATGCAAACCATTGAAAGAAACTTAATAATCTGCTTTACAGTCATTCCTTGCTAAGCTTTCAAAAATTTGTCGGTGCCTTTGCTTCAAAGAAATTAGATAGTACTGAGTTCTCAGATTAACAGTACTACAGTAGTTTAATAAAATACATTATCATACATGTATTTGAAGTAAATGACAGCAATAAATGAACAAAATAAATTTTGAAAGCGATATCCTACATATCGTATTACTGTAGCATTTATCTGCCTGTCTGCAGAGTTCAGAAACGTGAGATGGGTGCCGCATTTGGGCTGTGTATCTTTCAAAAGGCCTGTGCCCATATTTAGCTTTATAAAATAAAAACTGTTTTGGAAATGGGAAGGTTGTGAAGTACTACTTCACAACCTAGTTCTACTGTTGTGAAGTAGATCTTTTTGAGATTTATTTATTTATGTATTTGTTTATTTATTTATTAGCTGGACAATTTGATAAAAAAAGTAAAACAACTTGCAAACCTTCAATAGAACTTCCGGAAAATTAATATTTAATTATTGTGTAGCACTGGTGGACATTAGAATTGTTAAAATGGGGCAGTCTAATACGCTATTATTGGGCACTTCAGAAGCAACATTCAGCTACCAGAATGTTGCATTTCTCTTTCTTAAGGCTCTCGTGATTTTTAGCCCCTGCACTGCAATGGAGTTGAAGCATAACAGCATTCTTCATCACACAGTTAGGGAAGACAGTCAGCTTCTAAAGATTTACTGGATAGGTTGTTCAAAACTGCAGCCTTTTGGGAGATACAGAGGGATTCTTTATGGGCTCACCTTGTGCTCCCATCTCTGCTTTGGAATCCAAGATTTTTGTTATGTACTCTGTAAATTGCCTCAGCTGATTTATTATCCACAACTGATAACATCTTGCTGCCAGTCCTCAGAAAACTTGTTTTGTTCTTCACTGTGTTTCTACCACAATAGTTCCTTTCTGCCCCGTGTGGGACAGGCACACTGTTTTCCTACAGTCTCAGTTGAGAAAACAGACAAAACTGTGGAGGAAGAAAGTATTATCCCTAATTTGTAGGATGAAAATTACATGACTTTGACTAGAAAGTAGATAGCAGAGCCCAAAATTGATCCCAGATGTTTTGTAAAATAAGACCATCTTGATCCATACAATGGCTGGATTTATTTTAAGAACAAGCAGCAGAAAAATTTGTATAGTATAAAAAAACCCCACCAGTCAGTACTGGGGAGGAGGGATGTGCTCCAAGTAGCATCCAGGTTCAGAAGGACTTAGTATCAAACCCTCTTTGTGTCTTGGAAAAATCTCTCTTGAATTGCCATTCCATTCCAGTACTACTTGAAACACAAAACTTACTAGCTTTTAGAGAAATTTCTGAACCATTTTTCTGTCTGGAATGCTATCACATATTGTCTTGACTCAAAAACAGACTTATCAGACATCTACCTAATGTTATTTCAAATTAACACCACCTAGAAAAAATGGCTGCGCACTACTGTGTTCAATAAAAATGTAACTTTCTTTTGCTGCCACCTTGTGGCTTTTTTACTACTTCTATATACACTGATTTTGTCGAAAAGTCATTAAAGAATTAAAAATTTTAATTTCTTCTCTCTATACATGAACAGACATTTTCTGCGTAAAAGATGTCAATTCCTCTTTCCAGACAGACTGAGCCCTCAAAACAGTCGGGCAGTACCATCAAACACAGAGCCCTCTTTGGCAGTCAAACCATCCTGAAGAATAAAAAATGACACCCGTTCTCAAAGCTGTGTAGAATATTTCCAGATTTCTTTCTTCTTTTAGTATCCCTGAAATATCAGAACCCTTATTTTTGTCTGTAATGCCATCTTTCCCTACATGCAGAAATTACATAAATGAGAGGACTTTTTGTCCTATAATGAATATTAGCCACAGCCTCTCCTCCAACAGAACAGTGTAGAAGTTGTCAAAATTATTAACTTTAAAAGATTTTTTTTTTTTTTGCCTGCTCTGATCTTAAGGTAGAAACCTTCTGATTTTTTTTTACTTTACTGTCCAACTGGAATAGTATTTGTGTAAGGAGAATGCAGCATTATTATGTTTTTAATTTTGAAAACAAACAAACAAAACACTTTTTTTTTTCCTGTTTTCTGATTTGGGAATGAGCCAATTTCTGCTTTAATCAACCTCAGATATCATTTGCATGAACCAAACCAAATCTGGCATGTAAGCTAGGTGAATGTTCCACATCTGTACAAAGCAGCAGCACAGGGCTGATACCTGCCTCTGTGGTGCAATTTTAGTCAAGTTGCTAATGGGCTTTCGAAGCTTAGGGCCTCGCCTCTTAATGAAAGTTGGTGGCATCCAGGTTCCAGGAGCTTAGGCCCTTTTAAACATTTTAGTCTTTAGGTTTCTGAGTTTTCAAAAACTCGTCTTCCATTGGTACATCAGAAAACTGAGTGTCTACATTTTATATTGCATCTGTAATGTTAAATTGCAATCTGTAATTGCAATCTGTAAGATGCAATATAACTTTATATCAGCTCTGACAAAGCCTTTGGAATCCTGAAGCTCATCTTTTTGCAATTAACTCTCTCCCTCCCTTCAAATTTTGTCTTATCTTTAAGCCATCACACCTAAAAGACTACTACAATTTAAAATAGGCATCACCTAACAATACACAATAAAATCAAAGGCAAGTACTTAGTGGTTTTGTCTGTAAGTTGTAAAAAACACAAAAAAGCTTCAAAGGCTCATCGTGCATAATGGCACCTTTATTTGGTTCTTGCCTGTGGTATTTTGCATCCTGTGCAATAAGCCACTTCTTGCAGTCTGTGCTCAGCTGAGTAATTTTGTCTGTGTAAAGAAACTGCTTTATTTACCTACTATAAAAATAATTTGAATTAATACTATTTTGTACAAAATTTTTGGCAACTATTATTATTTAATTTCCCCATCTTGCTAAGTTTGTTGTTTTTCTTTTATTCTTTTGTTGGTGGTGTTGGTGTTGTTTATTTTGTATATATTTTGCAGACTTATTCCATAACCCTCTCGCACATGATCCAGACTACCGCCTTTACGTGATACACTTCCTTCCTTCAGTACAGCTGCTTGACAGGAAATGTAAGAATTGCTTTTCTCTTTTCATGGAGATTGTTGCTTTTGATTTTAATCCATTTGGAAAAAATAAGTGAATCAATTTCTTCAAGTTTTTATATGCATTTGTTGATACAGCAAAAGATCTGATGAACTGGTAGCTATTTTGTGCAAGGTTTTTCATGCAAATTGGCATAAACAGTTGTATGGCATAAACAGTTTACTTTGTCAAACATTTTTGATTTCTGTCTTTTTCTAGTTGTCTTATGTATATTTATCCTGTAGTTGGTCTGTATATTTGGGGGTAAGAGATAAAAGCCATAGTTAAGAAACACCTACCTACATTTTGTATGCATATGAACCTGTACATGAGTATATCTACATACACCTACCTACCAGGAGTTGGACTCAGTGATCCTTGTGGGTCCCTTCCCACTCCAGATACTCTATAATTCTATATGAATTCTATGTGCATTCAGACTAGTATATTTACAAGTGATCCTGTGTACTTAGATATGGATAATATTCTCAGGTGTCTGTACGCTTCTGTACAGTTTAAATGCTTACGTGCACATTTCCTGATAAGATCCATACTGACCAAGCTGTCAAATATAAATCTTCATGAATCATCAGGAGATCTTTCACAGCTGTACATGCTACTGAAAAAATAATGATCTTGAGAACAGACAGATGATAAATCAATAAACATGACAGTGGAGCCAGGAACTTATCTTCGTGATTTTGTCTTCGGTGTTGGGAGAGCCATGTGATTCGCTGGGAAGCACTGTGAGAGGTGTTGATTCGTACCCCAGCTATTCCTCATAAAAAACAATGTGGAGAAACAACAACATCGCCTTGAAAACCTGCTCCCAGGCTCTAGGAGAAACAGGATGCAGGACTTGAGACGGCAACCACATTATTTCTGCATGGGCTGGCAGGTTGCACAGCTCCGTCATAAACAAAAACTGGTGGGTGGGACACCGTATGTGTCAGGGGTTAGTGAGCTGCTGGATTTGACCATAGCCATTTGTCTACACATTCATCTTGTACACTGGTAACTGTACCTCCTGTCTCTTCGATATTTGGGCTGGTGTTACACCTGTGCTTAGCACTTCCATCAGACAATTTTACTATGATCATTTTTGGCTAGGGTGGGGTGACTGCAGGTAAACCTGCTGGAAAATACATATGGCATTTACAGTTCTGGAAACATTTCCATAAAACTTCATGGACTTCTCTCTTCAATACACCCATACTGTAATTAGTCTTGGATTAGGACTTGAGGCATTAATTTGTACCAAGCCATTCCCTGGACTTTCTGTTTAGTGAACTATTTCTTTAACGTTACAAAGACTGTACTGTTAAATAAAATGTTCCCTTTTTTGTGTTAAATGGAAAATGTTCTGGCTGCGGAACATTCCCACAGCTCTGTCCTGGCTGTCTGCTTTACACAGGACACATGCTCATACTTCTGTTACCTCCAGGCATGGCTACTGCAGTTCCTTTCTAATTAGTCCCCCAGACACCACGACTTAAAAACTCCCCAGAATTCAAAATGTTTCTGCCAGAGTTATGCTCTAAACCTGCAGCTCACTTCTATTTCCTATCTGAAGTGCTGGATTAGCATGCAGTTTAAATCATGAAAGTTAAAATCCCCTATTTGACTTAGGGTCTCAATCTCTTTCTTTAAACTGTAAAGTTACTTTTTAAGTAAAGTGCAAAACAAGAAAACATGAAGCGTTTCTTTGGATTGCGGTCCTACAGTTTTCTCTGTAACTGAGGGATGGGAATTGAACTGATTTTGAAGCAGGATTTGTTTTCACTATTCATACAGAAGCTTCCAAGTCTTTAGTAACTTCTACAGTAGGTCTCATTTAAATGGTAATGAAGAGACTTGCTTTCTAGTTTCTTGGTTTAAAACGCCTGATCCTACTGCATCTGAAACAAATACTTGATTTTATTTGACAGGGCTTCACTGCAGAGCCATAGGAAGTATCACTCCACAGTCCCATTCTGAATCATGGTGAAATCATGCAGTTACAGTGCAATTGTTGTCAAACTCTGTACAAAATAATGGGGATCGCCTTCTGCATGCACATAGTTGATACCAGACTTTTAAGTTGATAGAAATAGTATTTTTTTAATATCCCTTTTAACAGCAGTTACACAAAGAGAAAGGGAGTCAGCATTTCATCTTTATAGCTGTGAGCTGTCTTGTGTTATGGAGTCAATAGCTTTTGGAAAGAGAGTAAATACACCGCTGGGGACCGCCATGGGAGGCAGCAGAGGTGCTCAACCAGCCAGAAGACTGATGATGGCCCCAGGTAATAAAAAATTTATAATAAAAAAAAATGAGAGCATACACTTTTGAGTGATTTGAATTAGAAGAAAAGTTATTTTCATTCTTTACAACTTTAAAGTTCTTTACATTCATCTGATAAAAAGTTGTTGTCTTTAGTAGTAAAATATAAATGCATCAGGAACTCAACCAAACTGCTTCAAGTCAGGAGCACTGGTGGCAACAGCCAACAAATGATTCCTTTGCCTGTGTCTATTGTGACAAATACGCTTTTGCCACTCCCTGTAGTTACAGAACTGTTTTAAGATAGCTGAACAAACAGCATTTTTTTTCAATATGTATCTTTCTGTTTTGTTGTTGTTTGTTTTTGCCTTTGTTTTTTTTTTTTTTAACTTTTGTTTAGTTAAAACATTTCAATATACTACTGTGCTGACTTGGTGATCAACATCATAGAGTTTTGATGCCCTCTAGTGCTTTTATAAAATAATCTCTTGAAGAATTTATTTCCTCCTAGTGATGTTAATTTTGCATATCTTGCCTAGTTTTGTAAGCAGAGTCCTGTTTATGTTTTCCAAGCTAAGACTGTTTTAATGATGTCTGGTAATAGCATATAAAGTAATTTTTAAAGAGTCCTGAAAACATTCACAGCTGTAAGACTGTGTAAGGTCCTGGCACAAGAAAGCAGGTGAGTACCATCCATAACCTTGTGACTTGTATCATGGGACCTTTCAGAACAGACCTTGGATTTCCACACAATACTGTCTGTCTTCTGTGAAAGAAGAAAAAAAAAAAGCACAGAAATGTTTATCTAGGGAAAATAAAATATGACAACTACATAAGCTTAAAAAGAACTAGGTATTTGTTTCTGCAGTAATTGAATAAAAGATGATATTACACATTTCAAATCTTTTGCTGGTTTTTAGTTAATTTGAACTAAAAAGTATTTTAGGATCAGGATGGTAATCCTCAGCTAATCAAACTGCTGTGTAGACATTACTGTCTTAATTTGAACTTTTTCTTACAGATTGTGAATTTGGAAATCACACAAATAAGTATGTATTTTTTTCTATACTTTTTTGTTTCTTTTTCTTTTGTATTTCAGAAACATTTAATTATTTTCCTCTTCCTGTACATAAAATAAACCCTAACAGAAGGAAAAAAACAGTAAAAATAATCTTTCAAAATTTTTTCTGGTCTTTTGTATTTAACATAGTTATAACTCTGCATTATTCTGATATGGCAGCCTACTCACTGCTGTTTTAAATTTAATATTGAAAGATATTCCAGGTATATAAAAATGCTATTTATTTATAAGATCAAATACCGATTGCTAGAAAAAGCGTGCCTGAAGCATTACTGCATCAGAATAGCTGTTTTGTCTTGTGGCATTAACAACTTTCTCCTGGCTGGCTGTCCAGTAATACACACAGTCTGGAAAATATTACTTACCTGTAGAAGGATTTTTATTATTTTTAGTCTATAGTTGATGTTATATTTCAACATCATAGAAATAAATGTAAAACTCACTTCTGTTATCTCTGTGCCTAGACTGAGGCAGTATAATGGCCGCATTTTAATGCAATGAAATTTTAAAATGCTATCTTTATAAGGCATATTTACAATCGTAAGATATCAGGTTTGTTTATACTTTCTGGTTTCATACATCAAAATATTTGTAAGATGTATTAAAGGAAATAAAAAAGCCTACACATAGAATTCATAGATTCACGCAGTCATAGAATTTTTTAGGTTGGAAAAGACCACTAAGATCATCTAGTCCAACCTTTAACCTAGTACTGCCAAGTCCACCACATCTACACGTTTTTTGAAGACCTCCACGAATGGTGACTCAACTACTTCCCTGGGCAGATTATTCTAATACTTCACAACCCTTTCAGTGAAGAAATTTCTCCTAATAGCCAACCTAAACCTCCCCTGTTGCAACTTAAGGCCATTTCCCCTCATCTTAACACTTGGTGCATGGGAGAAGAGCCCAATCCTCACCTCGCTATAGCCTCCTTTAAGGTAATTGTAGGGCGTGATAAAGTCTCCCCTGAGCCTCCTTTTTTCCAGGCTAAACAACCCCAGTTCCCTCAGCTGCTCTTCATAAGCCTTGTAGCTTCTAGACCTTTCAACAGCTTTGTTGCCCTTCTTTGGACACGATTTCCCTTCTTTAGACAGTATGATGATTTCCTTTAACAACTTGATTTTGTATACCTAATTACTTTGAGTACAGCTCTTTACAATCAGCCTAATTTATGTTCAAAAATTATTTCCTGCTTTCAGTGGAGTTAGTTGTCCTCATAGATACAATGTACAGTTTCCTCTCCATCTTACTTATGTAGATGCTTAGGCTTTACAAGGTACCTGAGTATTTAACAAAGTGCTATACTCAGTGGGAATAGTCACATGATTTCTGTTAGGTATGTGTTACTACAGCTACACATGTGTGAAATAAGTTCTTACAAAATCAGTTTTTAATACTGCATCTGAGTCTAAATTTTTTTGGTCTAACATGAAGCCTGTGTCAATTCTGAACTGATGTTGCAAGTCTGCTGCTTCTCTCTCCCAGACTGCAGCTGTGGCGGGATACCTGAACAACACAAGTTCTTGGTGTTCTGTGTTCACTGTTCTGGATTCATTTGCATGGTGGCTATTTAAAAGACCCATGCTGAAATAAAACTTGCATTTGCATTAATGGATATCATATCACTATGAAATCATAAAATACACAGTTAGTTTCATGATTTACACTTCTAAGAATCAGAACATGAAAATGTACAACAATTATACTTTTCATGAAAAAGAAGCACTGAAAACAAAATAGCAAATTCAAGTCTGCCTTAAATGTATTTTAAATAATTTATTGCATGATTTTTTTTCCTTAGAGTCCTGTGATTCTGAACTTCTCTAGTTTTGTTTTGCTTTTTAAAAATTTGGTGACAGAAGGAAACCTTCCAAAATTAATTTTTTTTAAATCCTCGCTGTTAGTATCATCGTGACTTCTACCTTCATTTTCTACACAAAGTGTGCTTAGTAAGTTAGCTCCAAATGAGTTTGGAAACACTGAGATAATTTACATTTGATTTGTTCTTTTTGCAGAGTTCCATTTGAGAACCCTGAAGATGCTGTTTTACTACGGGCAATGACAAGATCTGTAATGGTATTTTCCTCTCTTGACTGGAACAAAGTATCCACCTGTCGAGAAAGACGTCTTGAAAACAAAGCAGAAGATTCCCCTGAGAAGCTGACAATCCAATTCAGATGACTGCTTTCTTGCTTAAGAAAAAAGTCACTCCTCTGGTCAAGAGCAGATATAAACTTCTTACATAAGTTAATATCTCTATAACAGAAGTACACCAAACCCCACATCCAATTAAATGAACTTCCAGCAACAAGAAGTATTAGTGTAACATTCCTTTTATTATCAAATACATGTATATTATGTGGAGAGTCACGAAATAAAGAAATCAAATGATAAATAGTGGCAATGTTACAATAAAAGATGTTTGAAATGCAATTCTTACCATGCTTCTGTTACCACAAATTATTAAAGCCAAAATAGAAGCCAATTTTTTAAGAAATTAAGGATGAATTACTTTATTCTTTACCATTTCTACTGGCTAATATTGACTTACTGTGTTCACTACTAGCAATTTGGGTTCCTCTGTCAAAATAGATATCAGATAAACCTCATTAAGCTTTTCTAATTTCTTAGAGGAGTTAAAGTTCCAATTTGCTGATTTGTGAGCTGCATGAATTCACCAAAAGTTCTTAGTTTTATGAGGATGCTGCGTTGGGTCTCACTGCTGTGGAGCCAGGAGCTCTTAAGTGCTGAAATCTGGCTCTTGTCTCTGGCTGCTCATATTCCCCCAGGATGCGGGCCTCTATTTAGCAGTCCTTGTGGAGACGGGGCATATCACATGAAGCGCACTGGTCCCAGCCTGCTGCCAGTGCTGTAGCAATACACCTGATGCTTTTGGCTTCTCTAGGCAGTTACCACAAAGGGAGCCAGCAGGCAATGTGTATGCAGATGTAAAGTAATACATTTCCTCACATCTTTCCTTCTCCATTCTGCCAAAGGCTTACTTTCAGTCAATGCTATCTGACATATCAAAGCCCTTCAGCCCGGGGCTTGTCTTCTGAGTTCCTTTTTTTTTTTGTCCTCAGCTAGCACTGAGTCACGAAGCAGTCTAGGCTGGCAGGGATCTGTGGGTCCAACCCCTGTTGAAAGCAGGGCCTGACATTAGGTTATCCAGCATCCTGTCAAGACAAGTCAAATATTTCCAGGGAGGGTGAGACCACCACTTCTTGGCAACCTCTGGCAGTGTTTGTTTAATTGCAATCCCAAGCAACTTTCTCATATCCAGATGGAATTCTGCCTGCAACAACGTGGGCCTGTTGGCTCTTGTCCCGTCATTGTGCATCTCCATCAAGATGGTTCATCATCTCTGTAGCTACCTCTAGGTGTTATAAGATTATATCTCTCCAAGTCGTCCTTTCTCTGGAGTTGAACAAACTCCTCCAGCTCTCAGATAACCATGATGGCACACTAGCTGGAAGCTCTCTTGTTTTTTAATGTCTCTCTTGGTCCAGGTTGACCAAAACTGGACACAGTATTCCAGGTGTGGCCTAACAAGTGCCAAGTCAGGTGGAATAATTACACCCTCGGCCTGCTGACTATACTTTTGTCTTTACCTTCAGTGCTGCCAGGGCATACTGCTGGCTCAGGGGCAGCTTGCTGCCCGCCAGGACTTCCAGGTGCTTTTCAACAGACCCAGACAAATCCCAGCCTGTACCGCTGCTTGATATTATTCCATCCCAGATACAGGACTTCATCCTTTGTTAAACCTTGTAATTCCTTTCACCTTTTTGATGTTAGATTCCTTCCTTTTTGATTTCAGCTTCCTTATTTTTCTTGCTTAAAGCTGTATGCATTTTCTAAATGCCCTTAAATCATCCTCATCTCTGAGATTTTAAAAGGTAGATCAACACCTTGGTAGGTTTCAAGAACGTTTAATTTCTCAAATAGAGTAAGTTTACAGAGAAGCTAGATCAAATAATCCCTAGATTGTCTGGGTCTTTTGAACTCTTACAGCTGGCTGTGCTCACAGAGGTAGTCTGCAATGTAATAACTTCATAGCAGCAATTTCACAATCCCAGAATCTGTAGATTCACATCAGATTTCACATGTCATAATTGACACGGAAAAGGCTGAATTTAATGTTTTCTCTGAAAGCAGACTGCACCCCACATGGAAATGGGAGCTCAGTTAGTAAGCAATGTCACTTCAGAGTAAATTTCATTGATTTCAAAGTTTTGGATCAAATCAGAGGCACAGTATTTCTGGCCTGCAGTATTTCTTTTGTCCCTATCTTCTTTTGCTTAAAGAAAAATCAAAGTGAAATTTCCTATTTTAAAGTTTTCTGCTTAGAAAATTCTGGAATGCAAAACATGAAGAATTTTATTATAGAACCTTTTTTAACAACTAACAACTTCATTTTCCCCAAAGAATATAGATTTTGAAAACAACAACAAAATAACATTTCACATGAGTAAATCTTAAAGGATTTTAACTGTACTTCTTGTAATCTTCTTGAGCATACAGATGGGCTCAGAGATGACTGAGTTACTTTACAGTTATATGGTCTTTGATGGTGAAAAGTCCAACAAAACCTCTAGAGTTTTGGCCCTCTCACTGTTGCACACAAATGTCCCAGGAATACAGAGTAAAAAAGCAAACAAAACATCCTATCATGGCATCCAGAAGCCCTTCATTGTAGTATTTGCTGCTTGTTCACACCTGTAGTTTGTAAGTGTTGGATGCTGTCAAGCAAACCACAAGTCAGTAGAAATACTGATTGTCAAATCAACCTTACTCACTAAGCAGGGCTTTCCATTACACTCCTTCATGTGAGCTTTGTAAAAAGGTCTGTGTTTTACAGTCATTAGAGAAAAGGCGCGTTTGCTACTTATGTACATGTACAAAGTACTCAAATTACAAAGGTAATTTCAAATTTTGCTGAAAATTTCCCTTCATTAGATGAAGAAAATCCTTGAATATCTAACTGCACCACAGAATCACAGAATCACAGAATTGTCTAGGTTGGAAGAGACCTCAAGATTATCAAGTCCAACCTCTGACCTAACACTAACAAGTCCTCCACTAAAACAGGTCACTAAGTTCAACATCTAAACGTCTTTTAAAGACCTCCAGGGATGGTGACTCCACCACTTTCCTGGGCAGCCCATTCCAATGGCTCACAACCCTCTCGGTAAAGAAGTTTTTCCTAATATCCAACCTAAAACACCCCTGGTGCAACTTTAGGCCGTTCCCCCTTGTCCTGTCACCAGGCACATGGGAGAATAGACCAACACCCACCTTGCTACAGCCTCCTTTAATGTACTTATAAAGAGCAATAAGGTTGCCCCTGAGCCTCCTTTTCTCTAGGCTGAACAAACCCAGCTCCCTCAGCCGCTCCTTGTAGGACTTGTTCTCCAGACCCCTCAACAGCTTCGTCGCCCTTCTCTGAACTCCCTCAAGCACCTCGATGTCCTTCTTGTAGTGAGGGGCCCAAAACTGAACACAGTACTTGAGGTACGGCCTCACCAGAGCCGAGTACAGGGGGACAATCACTTCCCTAGACCTGCTGGTCACACTGCTTCTTATACAAGCCAGGATGCTGTTGGCCTTGGCCACCTGAGCACACTGCTGGCTCATATTCAGCTGACTGTCCACCAATACTCCCTGGTCCTTCTCCGCCTGAAGGCTTTCCAACCACTCATCTCCCAGCCTGTAGCTCTGCTTGGGGTTATTGCGCCCCAGGTGCAGGACTCGGCACTTGGCCTTGTTGAAATTCATACAGTTGACCTCAGCCCATCGGTCCAGCCTATCCAGATCCTCCTGCAGAGCCTTCCTACCCTCGAGCAGATCGACACACGCACCTAACTTGGTGTCACCTGCGAACTTCCTGAGGGTGCACTCGATCCCCTCATCCAGATCACGGAAAAAGATATTAAAGAGGACCGGCCCCAGTACCACGATCGAGAAGATTTCCTTCTTGAAGAGTGCCCAGCCTTCCTGGACTCCTCTGCCCTTCAGAACTGCCTCCCAAGGAATCTACCAACCAGTGTCCTGAACAGTTCAAAGTCGGCCCTCCGGAAGTCCAATACAGAGGTTTTACTGGTCCCCTTCCTGGCTTCTCCAAGAACGGAGAACTCTACCATTTCATGGTCACTCTGCCCAAGACAGTTTCCAACCCCCATATCTCCCACCAGTCCTTCTCTGTTTGTAAAGAGAAGGTCTAACGGGGCACCTCCCCTGGTAGGCTCACTAACCAGCTGTGTCAGGAAGCTATCTTCCACGCTCTCCAGAAACCTCCTAGACTGCTTTCTCTGGGCTGTGTTGTGCTTCCAGGGTATATCTGGGAAGTTAAAGTCCCCCACAAGAACAAGCACTGATGATTTTGCAACTTTTGTCAGCTGCCTGTAGAACTCCTCATCAGTCTCCTCATCCTGGTTCAGTGGTCTATAACAGACCCCCACCAGGATGCTTGCCTTGTTGGCCTTCCCACTGATCCTAACCCATAGGGACTCAACCTTATCATTCCCAGACTCAAGTTCCGCGACATCCAAACTCTCTCTGATATAGAGAGCCACACCACCACCCCTCCCATGCTGCCTGTCCCTTCTGAAGAGCCTATAGCCAGACATTGCAGCACTCCAGTCATAAGAGTGGTCCCACCATGTTTCCGTGACTAAGTCGTAGCCTACCTGCTGTACGATGGCTTCCAGCTCCTCCTGTTTGTTGCCCATGCTGCGTGCATTAGTGTAGATGCACTTCAGCTGGTGCATTGCCTCCTCTTCCAGCCTTGCCATTGTTACCCCTGGCACAGCTCTAACAAGCCTTGTTTCAGCCCTGTCCCCCTTCTTACCTAGTTTAAAGCCCTCTCAATGAGCCCCGGCAGCTCCTGGCCCAGGATCCATTTTCCCCTTAGAGATAGGGACCCATCTGTGGCCATCAGGCTGGGTGCTGAGTAAAGTGCCCCATGGTCAAAAAAAACAAACTTCCTGTGTTGGCACCAGCCTCTGAGCCATGTGTTTATCAGGTGGGCTTTCCATGTCCTCTCTGCACCCCTCCCTGTCACCGTAGGGATGGACAAAAACACCACCTGTACTCCCGCTCCATCCACTAACCTTCCCCGTCCCCTAAAGTCCCGTTTGATGGTCTTCAGGCTTCTGTCTTCAATGTCATCACTGCCAGCCTGG